CAAAATGATTTATTTAACGCAGAAAAAATGGTGTTCACTGCGATACACGGCGAATTTCTTTTGACTCCTTCTTTGTCTGCTGCAAACAGAAGAATGACAAATGAATGACCGTCGATGCAACTAAAGGCCCGTTCACACTCTTGCGACCGAGTAAGACCGAGAGAGACCAGACCGGTTTTTAAGCCTTTTGCAACTTCTTAGGACCGGATGCACTGCTGCGGAGCTGGTCCTAAGAGATAGCAATAGGCTTAAAAACCGGTCTGCTGTGCTCTCTGTCAGTCTTACTCGGTCGCAAGAGTGTGAACGGGCCTTTACGCGTCGTTACAAATCGCAAAAAAAAAGAGAAAAAACTGCTGACAATGAAAAAATCCCCAATATGCTACTTACTGGCCGCATAAAATCAAAGCACGGGCACGAATGTTTGGTGATCAGTTGCGACGTCAGGTTATCTTAATTGCACAGCAGAGAGTCCGTTCGACTGGAAGGCGGCCGGTCTGAGGTGGGAGTTATTTATTTAGCGAGCGGATTTCCATGGGGGGAGCAAATGCAAGGCAGTATCAACACGAACTCACTTGTCTAACAACTTCTGCGCGTGCGAGTAGACACTCGCGTCACAACTTTGTGAGGTGTGCGTTGTTCGAGCTCCCATTGTTTAAGTTAGTTCGTTCCTGCTGTGTCCGTCCTATACCCTGACAGATATTGCTTCCTGTGAGGTGCAGTACGTGAAAATCAGTTTCATCTACCGTGTCTTTCCTTATCGTCGCCTTCTATCTCCTTGTTCTCCAAGCATCCAGCCTTATTATCTGGGAACGGTTAAACACACGCTAAATTGTAAGATTAATCCGAATCGCAGTTTTCTTCGTGTTTCCTTTGGCTTTTCGCATCATGGCGCTCTGACATACTGCGCGTGGCTCGACCTTGAAAGAAAAACAAAAAAAAAAGTAGAGTTTGTTTGCAGCTTGATGATGGATTCTTGTCGATGGTATCATCATAGAGCTGCTGATACAGTGAAGCGTCCGAAACCGGTTTCGCAGCGTCGGAAACCACTGAAACAGTCGCAAAACATCCATGGAGTGCCGGTGAGAGTGGAGTGGTATACTGTAGTGGACAGTAAACGGCACATTGAAAAGCTATTGACGTGGCGAGATAGTAGAAATGTGAAAACGAAGAAGAGGGTAATTAGGGTGTAACTCTATCGAATGCACGGGCACGAGTCTGTGACTTTGAGGCGTGCTTTGGCCGCACGCATATCCCTGTTGGAAAAACGTGCTGGTTCGTGGTGTCAAGTGATTTTTGTAGAATCAGCGAATCACTTAATGAGTAAAGACGAGAAAAATTTACACATTATATACGTCTCTCGCTCTTTTATATATATATACATATATATATATATATATATATATATATATTATATATATAATCGGAAGTATCTTTTTGACGAAAAGACACAGACGTACTAATATACCTATAAAAAAAATGACTTTTTGCCTTTTTCGATTACTACTCCACAACAGTTAAACACTGTCTACGGTGTCATTTCAGCGCCGGAGCCTTCGATCAAGGAATCAATATTCGGCGTAACAAAATCCGACTATTAAAGCGGCATCGCGATGTATTTCTTTAAAGAATATGCCCGTGCTTTTCGGCGAGCGCTGCTGCACCCCAACTTCGCTCAAATTCTACTATCACAGTTGGGGAATCCTCAAACGTTAAGAAAATTGGACTCCAGATCCGTGGCCACGAAATTCGAGTCTGTTGTCATACGGTAGCACGGAAATGAGCTGGGCGAGTTGTGAAAACGTTGAACGTGGTGGTGAAAAAAGCGCACAGAAGCTGAGGACAGAACAGAGCAACACATACGACGCATAACTGCCTACTCAGTCATATTACACATATAAAATATAGAAAAAAAAATATTAAAAAGTTGTATTACAAATACAAGATAATCTAACTTTGTTGCGAGTCAGCGCTAATGTGTCGCGTACGTTCCTTTGCTCTGTCCTCGCTTCTCGCGCTCTGTTTTTCACCGCTCAAAGTATACGCGCTTTAGCTTCTGAAATGTCGCACATTTCCATGCAGTTTCCCAGGCGTTTTGTCTTCGACGCAGTTAGTTTATTTTGTGAGCAACTGAACGCCCACCACCAGGAACAGTCAAACCTAAAAGACAGCAACGACAACTGTTCACCGTCAAGCAATGCAAGAAGTGCTTCGTGAAGCAGTCAGGAGTTACAACTTTCCGGGTGTCGCGGTTATTGCTGTCGTTTTGGTAGCTGGGGACGCAATCAGCTCACATGCTTGAACCAGCGTTAAGTCTTGCAGCAGGGGCAAGGTGAAGTAAATTATGTTCTATCTCAAGAGTGCTGTGTAACGCCTTGGTACGAACAAACGCAAGCGCGAGGTTCTTTCCTTGCGCAAGTTTTTATGCCAACACAGCATATCACTGAGCCAAGCTCGAACACCTCTGACGTCGATACTCCTGTACACAATTATGGAATATGGTGCTTCGTGATTTTTCTGTTAAGGTCATTAACTTGAATAAAAGGTTAAAAGCGCGAACAAATCGGGAACAAGGAAGGTACACACGCGACGGGACAGGCGGATTAAGTTATTCTGTTAAAGTCTTAGAACGCTGTTTGACAGAGCAGATTATATCACTTGCTTATGGAACCGGGCTATGAGCTGTATGATCCCAGCACCACATTGGACACTAGTTATTTGCTGCAGATTCATTTCTGCATAGCAACAGAAGAAGAAATCACGTCTGTTGTTTTGACATGCCATGCATGCATTCTGTCTCAATAGCCAAATTCTACAACTGCCACTAAGTCACTAAGGCATAGTAAACGTGCTTCAAACAGTTCTGCCTTTTGATGTTTTGCCTCAAAAGCTTTGACAAGGCTCAAATTATTTTCAATGGGTGCAAGATGACTGCTGCTCTGATAAGCGTGTATTCGAATGCTACGTTTTTAGGGTAAGAACAAGACACAGGGTAAGAGTAAGACACTTGTTTTATCAAACAAGAATTACTCAAGGATTCCATGAACTTCAAACCATGGATTGTTAAATGGTTCACCGGAATAACAGAAAAAATCATGGGCCTAATATTAGACTGAGTTTTGTGTTAATCTTTTAAAGCTCGTCTAATCGTATACGTCCAATCGATGACAACAAAAATTACAGAATAGATAATAACCTTTGGTGTGCAGTTTATTTTGGCAATAACAGTGAATATAAGGACAACAAGGCATGAAAGATATTACAGGCGATAAAGAGATGCAGAGGTTAACCCAACAAGGTATCAAATGCTTTTTGTACTACGGTGGCAAGATGACACTGAACGCGAAAATTAATGAAGTGCTAATGCAGTTTGCCAGAATATTGCAGTGGAATGTCTTGTTCGAGCGGATCATTATTAATCGAAGTTAAGTTCTTCGACAGCGGGAGAAAGATGCGAGTTTACTTTCCGAAAGACCGTTACATTATATTTTATAAGAAACCAGACAAGAGCAAAGAGTGTTAGCAGGACCTCGTCCGTCTCTCCGAGGCTTCCACTAGCAGCTTGGACCACTTCCGTGTTTTGTCATCCGTGCCTCTACACGTTTACCCATTTCGATCTGTATGAGCAACGTACCGGTGTACGGTCGTGTAACTACGGCGTGATTCGAGCTAACGACTCTGCGTTAGCAGTCGAGCTACGAGGGTCACACTACACATCGGAGGCATCAAACGCTATTTTTAGACAAACTAACTTTGCGCTGTCTAAACATCCATAAAACAAATATTACCTTTATTTGTTTCGTCCAGGCAAGGATCCTCAGAACTCTTAATAACCCTTACGCATCTGGACCACTCTTATACTTACGGATTGAAAGCCCAACATGAGCAAGTTCGTCGCGTTGGAAAGCGAACAAAATATGCGACGAAACATAATGAGGAGTGCTGATGGCACCGATCAGGTGCCGTTGATTGGAACCGTATTTAGTGGAGCATCAAACGTGGAGGTTCATGCGAGACATTTTATGAAGGTCGGTGAGTAGATGAAGTTGAGCTCGAAAAATGCGAACTACACGAAGACTCTGTGCATGAACATTTACAATGCTTAAGGTCCTTGCCCATTTCGCATTATTCTAGAAAAACGTTGTCTTCTACGCACCCCTGGCTGAGCTTCAACGCTGATTTCAGCTCGGTGTTTTCAGCAGGAAGGCTAATGCGTAAGAATAAACTTTTGTAACCCATAAACGTTGTATGTAAAGAGCACATGTTTACTTCACTCAGATGTTAAAAATCACAAGGGGAACAGACCCCTAGCATTCTAATTTCAGACCACAGTAGATCACGTTAGAACATGAAGCACGAAGAAACAGAATAAGAGAGTTGAAAGAACGAGCGTATTGGTTCATTTGAAATTGACGAAGCAGCAGCACATTTCAACTAAACTACTTAACGTTTATGTAATTTAACTTTAATCACGTCACGTTTTAGGCGTTCCATTCCCTTGAATAAAAAAAAAGAACAATCCGAAACTAAAAAGAAATTCCAGGCAAGGCTGCTTTCACTGCGCGCTTCACCCCTTTTCAGTGACCATGCTAAAACAGATACGACATGAATGGACAGAACTGCATTTTGATCAACTCCCCTGAGAGCGCGAACTTTCTCTACAAGTCCCACACTATTATAATACTCTCTCCGCTCGACTTGACAGTTCTCGGGCTGGTTCTCGCACTAAACGGAAAAAGGTCCGAAAGACGACAAGGAGATCACCTGTAGCCTCGACTCACGGCGCTCGAGCGACCCGCAACAGAGAAGCAAGACGAAAGGGACTTCCGAAAAGCGCGTCAGCGGCGTTTCGAATCAGGAGCCCCTTTTCCCTTTATCGACGGCGCTACGACTGGAAGGGAGTGGCCAGAGGTGCCCTTCGGGGTCGACGTCACCGCGGGAAGAGGCGGGCCGGAGTCCCTCCCCCTGTCCATATTGCCCCCAATGTTCCCTTTCCCGGATTCATTTACCGCTGCTTGCCCCTCGCAAGCCGAGAAGGAAAGCGCTCGAACTCCGGGCGCTCCGACACTGCGGCCCGCTTTTTGAAAATCACTCGCCGCGAGTCTGGGGCCCTCTTGCTTATTTGGGGGACAGTGTCGAGCAGCCTTTACCTTGCGTGCGCGCTGGCCACCCTCGCCGTCCCCTCGCTGGGACGGACCGCGCGATCGGTTCCCCGTGCCCTCGCCCTCGGCTCCGGGCTGCAGCCCGCGCTCGTCGGCCTCGCACGTCAATCCCGCGGCGGCTGCTCTCCCCGTCGGGCCGCCCTCTCCCATCGACGCCCTCCCGGCCGAAACATGGCGCGTGCTTCTGGAGCGGCGCGATTTCGGCCAGCGTGAGAGCCAACTCGCGCACCTCGGTGGCAGCTGCGGGACCTCGGCGAGTCCTGCCAGGGAACTGCGCGCGGCATGCACACGCTGTACGGCGACCACCACGGCCAGGGCTACTACCGCTACAGTGGCTACTCGTCGCCGCCGCCGCCGTCGTCGAGCCCGGCCGGCAGCGGTGGGTCCGCGGGTAGCCCACCGACCGTGCTGTACGGGCCCAGCCAGGACGCCATGGCAGCCTACCCAGGACGCATGGGTCGGCAGCAACACCACGCGTACGTGCCGTCGCCGTACGCTGCAGGCGCCATGACGCTCCAACAACAGGCGCCCAAGGACATGGTCAAGCCACCCTACTCCTACATCGCACTCATAGCGATGGCCATCCAGAACGCGCCAGAGAAGAAGATTACGCTCAACGGCATCTACCAGTTCATCATGGACCGCTTCCCCTTCTACCGGGAGAACAAGCAAGGCTGGCAGAACTCCATTCGGCACAACCTCTCCTTGAACGAATGCTTCGTGAAGGTGCCCCGTGACGACAAGAAGCCCGGCAAGGGCAGCTTCTGGACGCTCGATCCGGACAGCGTCAACATGTTCGACAACGGCAGCTACTTGCGGCGGCGGCGGCGCTTCAAGAAGAAAGACAGTGCCAAGGATGGCAGCAAGGACGAGGCGCTGCGCAAAGCTGCTGCGCACAGCCACGCCGATGTGGAGGACAAGAAACCGGCCATCAAAATGAACAGCGGACCTTGCCCCAACAATAACAACAACCAGACCAACGCCGAGAGTCACCAGGCGGTCACTCCCAAGAGCGAGCCCATCGCGGACGCCTGCTTGCTCGCCTCGTGCAAGTACGAGGCGCGTTCTACGCAGCTCGGCCAGCAGCTCGCCGACCAGCACGCCGCCGGAGCCCTGGTTGTGGACCCGTCGCTGTCCGCCTTCAGCGTGGACAGCCTCATGACGCGCGACCAGTCGGCGGCCACCGACGAGCTGGCCCACTATTCGCGGCCGGGCGTTCTCTTCCAGGCGGCCATGAGTCCCTGCTCGAGTCCGGCTGCGCCCACGTCCTTAGGCTACGCGTGTGGCTCGCCGGGGCTCTACTCGGACAGGTGCTCGCAGGCACTTGGCGCGCCCACCGACGAAGCCCTGGCTACCGGCGGACCTGCTGGCGGCACCGCAGCCGTCGGTGCTGCCGACAGCGCGGGACAGCAGCACTACGCGCCGTCGTCGCGCACTGCCTGGTACACGATGCAGCAGCAGCTGCTCGATCCGGGCGAGGCGTACGCGGCTTCCAACGGCTTCAGGGAAGTGTACGCCGGCAGTAACGCGACGAGCGGCGGCCAGAGTTCCTACCAGGTGGGCTTTCCGCTCAACAACGGCTACCAGAGGTCGTACACGGCGGGCTACGACTGCACCCGATACTAGGTACTGTGGCCCTCTTCTCTCGAACCTCCTCCGTGCTGTTCCGGCCGTGCCCGACTGTCACCGCGGCTGTGCGCGATCCCGTGACGGCCGCCTCTGGCCAGGGAAAGCTACGATGTTTGTGAAACGTGGACTCGTAGTGTATATGTGGACTCGCTCGTATTTGCAGCGACGTGCTGCGCTCAAATCGCAAGGCGGTGCCAGTCCTGCATCCGCTCGGCCAAGCTGAAGCTGGTCTGCTAAGAATGACGGACACGTGCTACTAGTCTTTTTGGGTGAAAAGTGTTAGGCTATGTTCTCATGTTGTTTGGATATGTATATGCATTCATGTATTGCTCATATTCTGCGCGAGGCTGATTCCTGTTGTAAGGAGGGGACACCACTGGGTGCCTCTTCTTCTAACACGACTCAGCTTCGCGCGCGGGCCCTTGGCAAGCATTATCACTTCTGTAACTGAGAAGCGCTGTATAAAACTCATACCATAAAGCAAGTGCAAGAAATACGGAGAAAGTGACTGGGTAGGTGAGAATAGATGAGACCGTCGCTGATTCACTCGGGACTCACAGCCAATCCCTTTCAGTTCCGGTCGCGCGAAAGTAATGCGACGCGTAAACGTAATTCTTTTTTTTTTAAACTTATCTGCTTGCAGTGACTTGGTCGTGTATATTGTTCATCAAAACAAGTGAGCCAATGTCGAAAAGCGTCTGTTTTTTTTTTTTCCTGCCCTGAAAGCTAGCGTTTCTCATGTCCATCGCATTTCATCGCGGCTTCTGGTTTTTCTTTTTTTTTTTCTTCATTTTTTATGCCGCGTAAGTTTTATAAAAAAAAACGACTGCTTAAAAATTTGCTAGGGATATATTCAAGCAAGTGCTAATACAGCATGGATAGCTATACCTCATGTACGAAACAGATGTCACATTTTGAATTGGCTTGAACTGCAAAGGCACTGCATCCTGGTTGTTCCCGATGCAGCGTGTGGTTTAGAAAGGTATCGAAGTACACGGATGAGATTGGTGTATTCAAATGAAGATGACATAGATGAAAATAAACGCCTAATTGTAACTATTGTTCTGTCTAAAGGTAACACTGCTGGTTGATGGTTGTATATACTGTACACCGTGATATTAACTACTTGCAGAATGCTCAAGCTTCAACATTCTGCTGATTCGCCATAAAACAAAAACAAAAAATAAACTTCAAATCCAAAAACAAATACTTATTTATATATATACAACGCAACAAGATAAGCTTGCTTTACTTGAGTTGCCGGTGGAAACGATTGATAATCTACGTTCCCACCAGTTCACTGATTAATTGGACGGCATTGTACAGCAACTCGTGAAATCTAAATTTAGCACTTAAACTTGCGCTTTTGCAGCCTATATTGTTGTATTTTGATCCGGATGAGCGGACGCAAACTACTTTCATAGAAAGAAAAAAAAAACAGTAAACACATTGAGGGCATGTATAAAGGTTCGCTATGTTACGGGTATCAACGTGGGGCCAACGTAGTATTTTTTCTCAATGCTCACTTTAAAATTAATTTTGAAAGTAAGAGTAATTATGTGCACGGTTTGGAAAGCAATATCTCGAACGACTGTTCTGGAGAAAGAAATAGACGGTTCTTCAAGAGTTTAACTCAGACCTCCTCAAGACGGACTGTCTACCTCTTCCTCCAAGTTTAACGCTCCAAAAAAAAAAAAAAAAATATATATATATATATATATATATATTAGCACATTTATGTAGCTATGGCTACATAACGTTCAGATTCAGTTCAGACTTGTGCTCAATTCTCGCTCACACGTTGCGTGCATAAGCTAACGAGAAGCAGCCAACACCATAGCGCTGTTTGATACCTCATGCATATTCCGATGTTGACGCAAGTAACACTTTTGAGCGTAGGAGTGAAAATTTGACGGTTGAGCCCTTGGTCTTAACAGTGCCCGTCTTGATCAGTTTACAGTGTCATTCCTTCAGGTCTACATTTTCGCCAAAACACCAGTGTGAAGATGCTTCAACTTCTTGCATTGTTGTAAATCCGAACCTCGTGAGGGGCCAAGCCTCTTGACAATAAGATAATGAAAACGTGAACACATGACGAGCTTGTTGCTTTGCCATCATCACCAAAACACAAAAGCAGAAGCTGGTAGAAATAACTAAATAAGGAATCCCCCGAGAGGTTTCTTTCGGGTTATAAATATATACAGATATATACAAGTAAAAGATGTGTACCGTCAGAGTTACTATTTAAAAGTTTGGAATGACGTTTCGAGCGGGGAGCGCTTTTTGACGAAATCTAGATAATTTTTCCTACCACACGTGCGAACCGAGTTGGAACTCTAGGCACGAGGCTCGTGCACTCTCTTGACAAGTTTTTTTTTTTTTTTTTTGTAGTGGCATTTTTGGCGTGACTTGTCATCGACAAAACACTTGCACCGAATCTTGAGGAATGCCTTTCTCACACGCCCCTCAGCGAACCGTTCGCGCTAGCGCTGCTAAAAGAAGTGAGTTACAAACGTGTCGTTAGGTCACTAAAAGGAGTAGACAGGGACGTCTGGTATTTGTATGTCTCCCATAAGGGTGTATAAACTTAAGGTAAACAGGGAGTAGGAGCTTGGAAACGCTGTATTGAGGTTCTTCTATGACTGGGCGCTCGCGCAGCGGAAACGTTCTTGAAAGCCATGATATTGTGCATGTAGCCGGCATGTGCATTTTCAACCATTTATACCAGATGGTCGTCACGTTTAAGTGCGAAGTAGTCCGTAGTGCACATGAAAGATTTCGTGAGCCCATCGGAAAGTGCCCATCGGAAAGCGATGTTCTCCTTTTGACACGCAGAAATTCGATTGCGGTGTGTCGAATTTCGAGTTACACACTCGTCGTCAAAACAGATAAAATACGCCAGGCTGTCCTTGTAAAAAACAAAAACAAAAAAAAAATATATTGTCTGTTTCTATAGTAAAAGGAACGAGCGTGCCCATATTACCTGACCGATGGTTGAATTGCGCGAACGGTTGTGCTAAGCTTCCTCTCGAAGTTACATGCGCGCGCGCGCGTGCTGTGCACAGTTCTGTCACGCTCTTTTCTCACAGCAGCGCACGCAGCACAAAATAGACGCAAGCAAAGTCTGTAGAGAAGCACGAAATTGATGACTAAACTACCACTATGCTCTCACATTTTGCGTTCACCAAATAGCTGGGGTCACTGTAGTTTAAAGCTATTCGGTCTGATTATTGAGAACACAAAATCAAGAATAACTTGAAACGCCGACACCACCTATGAGCCGGTGCACTAGCATTTTCATGTCATCAAAGTCAAAGCGAGCGCAGCCACACACTGGACATGAGTGCCGTGTCAGTGTTCAGTTGGGTCTCTTGTCCAGTCGATGCATCGAAAGAGGCGCGACGTCGGGCTCGATTGCTGATTTGGCGCTATTCGAGTTGCATGAAGTTGTGTGAAGACAGAGAAGGCCGTTCACAGACTTTGATTATTCGAGGTAATGCTGGTGTTACCTCAGTGCTACCCAGTGCTTGATGCTCACTCATTTGAGTTCACGGAGAACTTTTATGCCATGGTACGCGTGCTCGTGTGTTTTTCTTTTTTTTTTTTTTGTAGAATGATTTCACGTTTGCGTGACCTTGAGAACTCGACTAGACTATATGTTCATAGAAATAACAGAATGTTATTTAAAAAAGAAAGAAGTTTATATTTGCATCTTTAATTACTGCTTAACTCGACAGGTACGTATTCACCAGTCATCTAGCATTCTAAAGCGATTGAATAATAGTTACAAAATTAACGAAATATCGAACGCCTCGGAAATTATACGACATCGCAGACAAAGGCACTCGCGGCACGATAGTTCAAAAGAACAGGAATTCATCTCGAACTCTAGGCTTTGGTAACTGCACGTCCGGCAGGTTTCTCTGACAACATGTCGGCGGCGAACAGTTTTGCTTCCCTGTCAAGTGAGTGAACCGCTAGCGTACGTTGAATGTATATAGCAGTTGGGCTGTACGATGAAAACTAAATCAACTAAGTATAGAAGAAGCGCTTTAGTTAGTGTCGAGGACACGTTTATGTCACGTGCGTAATTTGGTATCCTTATGCTTTAGGTTTGTACTGCATTCATATATTCACGACTCTTTATATACGCGCATGGCTCATCCCTGACAATTATGACGAGCTTGAGTGATTGTAGAGGTTGTGTTAGAGCACGTTTGTCATGCGACTTGTTTCCGTGTGGCCCAATACAATTTTCCTAATTGTCCGAAGATACTGTTCAATGCTAGCGCATTTTTAGTACGCTTTCTATCGATCAATGTTGCTTCTTTTTCTTATTTTGCCTGGAAGACAATGGAAACACATTATTGTTCAACAAGGCGCTACTGTGAACTATTAAAATCACTATTAAAACGATTCCTCTAAAAAAAGGCGGAAAGAATATTATGAAACAATTAGTCTCTACTTGGGTATCAGTCGATAGGTTATTCGAATCGCTCGCTCAAATAACTTCGAGCCAAAAAATCGGCGAGACGTCTATCAGTATTACCGCTTAGAACGAAATGTATCCAGTGGTATACCTATAATCCAAGCCGTACGTCTTAACAGGAGAGTGCAACTTACACTCCTTGTGAACGATTGTAATGTGTATATAATATTTTAAATTTCAGCCATTGCCCTCCGCATTGATGTTGAACGCGGGCTGACGGCGACTTTCCATGAAAATTCTGATTTTGGACAGACAGATATGGCGTACTAATGCTTGCCATTCTACAGGTCAACACGCGTGAATAGGCTATTCCAGATCACGGTCAAACGTGTGAAAATTATGCGGGTAGAAATTAAGGGATAGGAGGAGATGCGAGCACGCAGGGACACCAGAGCGCCGAGCTCTGATTGGAATGATTAGTGGGCATATACAAGCCTGGGAATGATGAGTGGAATCACTAGTGGGTATATATGTACGCAGTGATAGTAGTTCTCTTTCGAAAGTCTGTCCTCCATTAGAAGCTCGTAAAATCCCGCACAATGGAGGACACAAAAAACACCGTTGAAGATTCATCCCGAGAAATGTTATACGAATCCCACTTCATCGACATCCTGTGTAGTTTCAGACTTGCTCGTTTCGAGGCTTCGTCGTTGTTTCGATATTACGTAGCAGAATCAGATTTTCAAAAAAGTAAGCAGGTGACTTTCGAAAGAAACGATCGGAGGCAGAACTATTTGCTTGGGAAACTTTCTTCACCCCAGGACCTAGCACACTGGAGAAACGGCTTCTACAACTTGGTTCTCGAGGTCGTAGCTTTCGTTATGCTTCAAATTAGGGTGAACTGGGAAGCCTTATTGAATACGTGTATGCCATAGGGGACGACATCAGACCGTTTTGGCGTATGATGCTGTAATCTCTTCGCTGCGTTGCGCAATGAAAGAACGTCTCCCGGCTCGAGATCTAGCTTTCACCAGGGCTTTCTGCCTTGTCACATATTGTTTCTTTGTCTTCTTTCTGTGCATTCATATTATCAAAATCGGGCGCTACAAAAGGAGCACCGTTACGCGAAAAAGAACATCAATGCACCTTGTTAAAATGAAGTTTAATTTCCCTGGTCACCGCAACATGCGTGGCGATGGTATCTCGCAGCATATAGACCCTGAGAGTCACACAGCATTAAGTGTGACGACTTCATACGACGACATCCAGATGAACAGACGGAGCTTAAACGAAGTCGGGACACAGCATCACATGCGGTATGCTCGCGCTAAATATAACGGTACGAGAAACAGACTGCCGTTGTTGAGACACGGCAATAGGGTTCCCCCAACTCCTAAATGTACATCTCAAACGTCCCACACAAAATTAATGGCACGTCGACAAGTGTCAGAACAATATTGAAACTAGCTATGCTGGGTTAGCAAAACCTACAGGGTACTTTTTTCCGGTTGATACATAAACATACTAGTTATATTTATCAGGAATCACCAGCGTGCGATCACGTAATCACTACTACTGCGTGTGCACGTTAAAAACCCCAAGTTAGTGGTCTACCGTACTGACTAAATTTCCCTTCTACAGCGTGAACCAGTGTCCTCATACCTTAAAGGCAGGACGACTTCTCGCTGTCCAAATATTCAACCTCTAATTTAATTTGCTGCTGTTGTCTTTGCGCCCGAGGCAAGGCGACACGCTTCAAAAACATACAAACT